CCTTAGGACAGTATTTATTTCAAATCTGATAGATTATATTGAATCCTCCTTACCTAAGATACTTAAGTTCTAATTTTAATAAATATTGATACAGGGTGTGTCATTAAAATAAGACATTTTTATTTTTATTATTTTTTTAAGTACTTATGACGCCACTGGATAAACAACTGGTTTATTATCAATAACCAATTATAACCAATTATCAATTAATAATCGTTTTTTTTACGGTGGTTTGGTCGAAGGTATGTTGGTTCGTTATAGTTTTATAAATGTTTGTTTAGAGCATATTTTTCAAAGTTAATAGTGATTGTTTTAAATATCTACTATTTGGATTTTTTAAAATATTCCTCAATAAAACGAATAAAAATCATATTCCAGATACCATTGAAAACTGGTTTTTTAAGTTATTTTGTAACTCATTTTATTCATTTGTATTAGCAAACTTAAAAAACAATTTTTTAAAGTAAACAAAATAAATTGAAAATATTTAGTTTTTTTGTATCGTATCTTAATTATTATGGAAGATATCTGAAAACTTAAATCGATTATTAATTGATAATTGGTTATAATTGGTTACTGATAATAAACCTGTTGTTTATCCAGTGGCGTCGTAAGTACTTAAAAAAATAATAATAAAAATAAAAATGTCTTATTTTAATGACGCACCCTGTATCAATATTTATCAAAATTAGAACTTAAGTATTATAGGTAATGAGGATTCAATATAATTTATCAGATTTGAAATAAATACTGTCCTAGGGATAGTTTATTCTTAACTCAAAAAATATCAAACCCCACTAAAACGTACGTCTATGAGGTATCGCATTTCTTACCCTGGGCAAAATGTACGTCTTATAGCCATACATCCTCCTGCTAAAAATGAAAAAGATCGCTCAACAAACAATCAAGATATTGGCTTATATCCATCTTAAGTGGGACACCCTGTATATCCAATACATGTACAGGGTAAGTCAATTATTCAGTAAAATTGATTATTTCATTTATTTTGATAATTATAAAAAAAAGTTTTAGAAAATGTTAAGATATACGATATAAAATTACTTTTGAGCATAGAGGGTACTTCAAAAAACTGTGGTGGATAAATATAACATATTTTATTCTAAATGTAATACTCTATAATATTATATGTATATCTACCTAAAACTAGTAGTTTTTGTAATTACTGTATTTATAAACATAAAGATTTCAGTCACCATTTTTGAATTTGGAGTACTCGAATTTGGTAGAAGAGCTGTATGGATGAAGAAAAATACATACGTACAGAGAATATTGGAGCTAGATGCTTTAAGGGTAACCAAAATACATTTATGAATTTCGACTATGTATTTAAAACTAAAAAATATATTTTTTTTAAATGGTACACCCTATACATATATTATTTTTAACTGAGCGATTTTACAAAACCCTTCACGTTTTATTAAGTATGTCATATACCTCTTTTTAATAGCCAATTTCTTTAAAAAATCATATATTATATCATTATACCCTCCACACTTTTGTAAAACATCTTGTATACTCAAAAATAACTTCATTTATAGTTCTGAACACAAACCAGATAATAAACTTCATTCTATCGTTGACTCACCCTGTACAATTTCTCAAAAAATTGGCAAACTCACAAATTGGTACTTTTTAACCGGAAGTAGGATTTTTACAATAATTATTTGTCCGCATATTATGTTTAAATATTGAAATAAAAATCTTAAAAAAAATTTGAACATATTGAAACTTAAAATTTTTGCTATTTATAAAACCTATGTCTGCGTTAAATGTATTACTTATGTGTATGTACAAAACAATACCATTCACCGCTAAAAAGTTAAAAAAAAGCAACAAAAAAGGAAACAAAAAAAATGACTATAGACAAAAATTAAAACAAAAATGATATGAAAAGAAAGCAAATAAAATATACAAAATTAATCAGGTAAAAAATATTTTCAAAAAAAAAGGATGTATATGTCCGTGACAAAAATAAAAGTAAAAATAATCCTTTGCATATTTTTTAACTAATGATTTATGAAGTTAAAAAAGTCTAAAAAAAAGTAACCGGAAAAAGTAAAAAATTGTTTTAGGGGTTCTTTAAACAATCTCTGATTAAGTATTAAGATTTCTTTATATAAGAGTTCAACTTCACTTTTTTTTGAAAAAAAAACACTATTGCAGTATGTAAATATGCAAAGGACTGAAAAAAAAGGTAGAAAAAAATCATGGTTATTTTCTATACAGGGGAAAAATCAATTCATGACACCAAAGTCACAAATTGTCGAAACTCTGCAGATAAATCTCGGCAATCTTTTAAACATTGCATGGTGGTAAAGACAGAGTTAATGTATGCAAAAAAAATAAAAAACGGAAAACTTGCAGTCAACCCACTCTCAAACGTTTGGAAAAAAAGATCGTAAAACTTACAAAGAGGTTGGATAGACATTGAATAGTGTGAATGGCTTTCTTTATTTTTTCCTGCTGAAAGAACAATCATAAAATTGAGAATATTTTTGGAAAAAAAATCGTACAAAAATTACGTAACAAAAGCTTTTACAACATGCCGGGTAAAGTAAATCAAGCAAAAACAATACCTAATAGAATACCATACGATTGAAAAAAAAACGGCGTCAGAGTTGGCTTGGAGTCGATCGTCATTTTCAGACCAACATGACGCCGTTTTTTATATTTATCATAGAGTACTTTTTGTGTACTTCTGTTTATTTAGTAGTGATGAGGTCCATAGAATGTATAAACCCGTTTATTTTGTTTTCTATATGCGTGCGGTTAGTGTTCCTGAAATACATTTTGTAATTTAAAACTTGGAATTAGGCAAAAGCCCTAATGTATAGAAAATACAATTTGACATTCACAAAATCATAGGTTGACAACTTAAGGTATGTTTGCCTTGGTACCTGTTAAGTATTAATTTAAAAATAGACGAAGCTTTTCTTAAAGTATTTAAAATTTATATATGTAGATATAAAAAAGTGGGTTTTTTTTGGAATATCTCGAAAAATATTGAAGATTTTAGAAATTTAAAAAAAATCCAAAAAGATGAAGAAATTTACTAAAAAAAGTTCTAGCTCCTGGAACTGTAGCTCAAATATCTATAATTTTTACAGAGCCCTGAAAACAGAGCTAAAACGGGTATTTTGGCTTCCGCGCGCGTCGCGTCACTTTAAGAAAAGTAAAGTAAAGATTTCAGTTAACGTCTCCTTTTTGCTGCCAGGGCTAATCTGGACGGGGCCTATTTTGTTTACGCGGAATCCGAACCGCGGTCCTCGGCCATGTCATGGTCAGTGGCCTACCGACTTAGGAAGTGTCTAAATTAACTCTTACTCACGAGATATCCGATCTCATCCGGCCTCGAACTGGCGCGAATGAGCAGTGTGTATCAATAGATTTTACACTTTTCCATTGGGCAACAGCACGATACAGAATTTCGAACCGGTCACCCGTCCATTCACCAGTATCGCCTTACGTCGCTTAACTTAGAACGGTGTTCTAATGGGAACCGGTGTTTCAACGTAGCTAGGCCGTTGCCACTCACTTTAAGACAACTTAAAACATTATTTAACCATATTAAATATTAATATTGAGGAATAAGAAAATTCATGGAGTGTTGGGATATAGGTACATGAATAAACAATAATTCGCGGTCGAAAAATATGTATCCCAATTTTAACATTAATTATTATTATTTATTAATTAATAACTTTTTCTAAACTGAAAGTTGATATAAAAATCCCGATGATTATTAACTAAAACCCTAAAATTATTTTCACTTAGTGAAGTTATTCTTAATAGGCGAACAAATCAATTACCTTTAAGAAAATTAAACAATTTTCATTTTCTACTTTTTTATACAATTGAATTATAAAATAAAAAAAAGTACGTAATATTTTTTTTTCAAAAAATTTTAATTGTTTTGATTTCTAATCGTAAAAATCTACTTGAAAATATTTTATTTTTTACTCTTATTGTTCAAAAATTTGTTATAAACAAATATATGGTTTATTAGTAAATCAAAAAGTTTTTTTGTATTATATTTATTGATGAAAATTATGATTTTTTGAAAAAATGCCGTTCTTTAAAAATATTTATTTATTGCTTAAAATTCCGATTGTTAATTAACAACCGTTTTTTGAGATTAAATATTAAAATTAAGAAACCGTTTTTTCTCTTAAAATCATAAATTCTATTTGTTTATTTAAAAAACAATTTGTTATAAACAAATTAATTTTTACCATTTTCTTTAAATATTTCATTCTGTAATAAAAGTAGCCATGTGTTTTCAAAATTTTTTTTAGCTAGATTTCAAAAAACTTTGTTGTGTAATTTCAAATTGAATTAATGAAAACAAATTGAATTAATGAAAAAATTACTTTTAAATTAATTTTCTTTTTTTTTCAGGGAGACTCCCATCACTATGAGCCACAGCCCACCACACCTTATGCCGCAACCGCACATGCGGCATTTAGCAAACTCCGAGCGTTCATCAACTACCGAGCACTCGTGATCGGACTGCGTCTTTCCATCCACACATGCGAGCTCTGATAGCAACAACATAGAGACGAGCGCTCGTTTTCGTCGCCGATCGAGTCGCCAATCTCCGACTTCCCCATCCACACACACAGGAAATCGGCGAAGCCCAGATCGGAGATCGCCAAATGCCGCATGTGTGGTTGCATTATGTTAACTAATATATTTGACTTATTTCAAAAATCACAAAAAACACTATAAGAAAAAATCTATCTTATCATAACATCCTGGCATGTTTTGTAAAAGCTTTCGTTATACTTCTCAAATAATCAACCAAAGAAGAAAACCTTCAACACTACCGCAATAAGGTGTGTGTAATCGAATTAGGAAAATCGCATTCTCTCAAATACTACTCGGCCAGAATTCCAAACTCAAACTCACTCTCGTACTCGTGTAAATTGTGTTTTTAATAATTTTCTTTCTAGCCAAAACGCACACCGATGCAGACCTACCTCTCGTATCGTGAGGGTGTGCGACACCATCTGGATCTTGGTCTGGCTCTGACTGTTGGGAAGATTCTCGCTCGATCTACTCCTGACTAGTTGTTTGGAGCCGTGCAGCACCTGTTTGCTCTTCAAAAGCATCTCGGTTTTGATGAATACTCGTGAGATGTAGGATGACGTGAGGCCTCTGATACCAAAGGCTACCTGGAAAAAAAATAATTATACACACAGATTGAACAAAAATCCATCACCTTGTTTGAATGTGAAATATTTTTTCAGCGATAACAATTTTTTGTAGGCTTATATACAGGGTGCTACAAATTCGAGGTACGAGCATTGGTATCTCGGTGACCGTAATAGATACGAACATGGTTAAATTGGGGCAAAGTTACGCTTTAGGATGTTCACCAAGATGCCATCAAATTTTTTTTTTTAAATTTCAAGGATTGTTGAGTTTTTTGGAAAAAACGGATTTTTTTGAAAATCATTTTTATTTTTTCCTGGCGTTACTTTTTAGGAAATAAAAAAAACTAATTACACATTCTCATTGCCACTTTATTAGGGCTATCTGTATTTTTAGATTTCCAAATTAACTGATAATTTGTGAGATACAGTGGCCAACTTAATTTTTTTAAATACGGATCTGCATTTTTTATTTCAGATTTTGAAAGAACTCGGTCTCCTGAGTACAACGATATGACACACTTAATATTTTTTTTTGTTTCGGACATTTGAACATAATTTATTTAAACTAATATCAAGTCCGGCTCTGGTTTTTTTTAAGATTTAATCTATTCATCGTTACAATATTGATAAGCTTTCAAACTTAACAATGATGTGGGGTAAAATATTGAAAATCAAATGCAATAACTAAAGGGACATTACTTGAGGTCATTTGTAAACGTGAAATCAATACATTTCAACATTTACAATAAAGAGTACAAAATGCATTCGGAACTACTCGTATAACAAGAAGGTATTCAAAGAGCTATAAATAAGATTGAAAAATAAATAAATTTGTGTATTAGGAAAAGTGGTAACCCTTTCGAACATGTAGATAATTAGAAACTAGTTTATAGAAGTTGATTTATTTATAACAACTACGATTGATATTATGAATATTATTAGATCGTAACTGAGATTCCAAATTCACAATAAAAAATTTAAAAATAATATCTTTAAATTGCTGACCTGGATATTATTTATTTGAATCTTTGGATTGGCTCGATTTTTATTATTCAATGTTAATTAACGCTGATCAATATTGTTGCGATAAATATAATCAGATTAAATAATTAAAAAAACCAGAATCGTACTTGAAATTATTTTAAATAATAATTAACTAGTTTTGTTGTTGTTAAGGTACCCAAAACAAAAAAAAATATCAAGTGTGGCATATCATTGTACTCAGGAGACCGAGTTCTTTCAAAATCTGAAATAAAAAATGCAGGTCCGTATTTAAAAAAATTAAGTTGGCCTCTGTATCTCACAAATTATCAGCTAATTTGAAAATCTAAAAGTACTATCAGATAGCCCTAATAAAGTGGCTATGAGAATGTGTAATTAGTTTTTTGATTTTCTAAAAAGTAACGACAGGAAAAAATAAAATTGATTTTCCAAAAAATCCGTTTTTTCCAAAAAACTCAAAAATCCATGAAATTTTTAGAACTTTTTTGATGGCATCTTGGTGAACATCTCGAGGCGCAACTTTACCCCAATTTAACCATCTTCATATCTATTCGAGGGGTAAACACATAGGGCAAAAAGTGTACACCTACATCCTCTATCCTTATTACATCCCCTACATCCTCCAGTACATCCTCGGTACATCCCCTACATCCTCGGTACATCCACTACATCCTCTAGTACATCCTCGGTACATCCCCAGGAAATCCTCTCATGTTTACGCCATACATTTAGAATAATTTTCGTGATGAACCGTTTTAGGTATCTAAAATACTTTTCGAGATATACGTATCTTGGACACACTGTATATATTTTTTTAAATTTTATTTGAATGGTAAAAAGGAAGTTAAAATTTTGAACGCTATTATCTCCGAAACTATTAAATATATAAAAAAAGATGAAGCACCATTTCGACTTACATTTACTAGAGGGATATTAAAATTTACAGGGTGTTTTTTATTTAAAATAACAAAATTAAGGTTAAGTTACTTACCACGAAACCGGAATTGTTATTTATGTTAGAGCGATCTCCCACTTTATTACGAGCTTTATTAAATGTATAACTACACAAAATTTCTCAAACCTCTACAATTTATTGGCTAGTAATATAGTTGACACCTAATATTTTTGTTGAATTCAAAAGGATAAAAAAAAATCAAAACCATTTAAAAAAATTATATGGGGTCATCGAGAATCGAACTAAGGCGCGCCAACCCATATCAAATCTTGCCAGAGCTGTAACAATCTCGGCTATTATTGTGCCTACAACAATTCGCCGTTACTTTTATTATACAGGGTGAGTCTTAAATAGGTGCAAATATTTTCAGGGCTGGTAGATCTCGATAAAAGAAACATATTTTTTCTTTACCATTTTTCAAATAAGTCCAAAATAACCGAGTTATTTAAGTTTGAAAATTTAAAAAAAAATGATTTTTTTAATTTTGATAGCCACCTGAATTTTTTCTGTATTTGCATCCCTTTTAGTGCCGTAACCATAGAGTAAAGCTGTAACTATGGTAATATCAGAGATTAAGAATTTATAACGTGGGAAAATTAGCGATGAACAGGCAGTTCTAAAAAGTTTTCGAAAAATATACAGGGAAATTTAAAAGAACATGCACGATTTTTAACATATTTTATTTGCAAAAAAACATCATAGACGTGTTCCTGGGGTCAAAATATACCACCCCTGAAAATATTTGCACTTATTTAAGACTTACCCTGTATAACAGCAGTTTATGCCTCGGTTTATGCAGTTTATGTCGGCGGAAAAAATAACTTAGTCATGCGTAAAGCCCTATATTATGTGCAAAGTTATCAATCTCGTGTTTTGAACCCCAAATAAAAATGAGATCTAGTAGCTACCGAGGATCTACTTTATAAAACAGACCTAAAAATAGGCAACGTTAAAGGCATTCGCATTTATGAACTTCGTTTTTGACGTATAGAGGGTACAATAATAATTATTTACACACACTTCCCTTTAATTCATAACGCTTACGGCACTATGCAATAAGATATGAACACACATGCCAAACACAGTTTTGCATAAACTTATACCAGAGATATGGATTAAAGTCTATACCTATATCTGACTTATACATACATTTTGCGAGATATTTTGAGGTTGTGAGTAGGGGTGAGCCACAAAGCCTTGAGTATCGATATTTTTATCGATATATCAAATAAAGGTCCATTTTCACTCCCATGAAATTTGTGCAAATCGGCTTGTGAAAATCGGCTTGTGCAAACTTTATTTAATAAATTCATTGAGAAAAACGGATGTGCACAAGCTAATTCACATACGTGAAAACCAAGTAACGATATATTGGTCCATAAATATCGATATAGCTATCGATATAACAGATACCGCTATATCTCTTTATGAATACTTCATATCGGAAATATCTATATCTATCTATATTCACAATATCGATATTCGATCTTATTTGATTTCGTACAGGGTGGTTGTAAAATATTGAATAAATATCAACATCTCGAGAACCACATTTTTTGGAAATCGCTCGGCCACATCAATTATTTTAATTTTTCCGGGGCAGATTATGCCAAAAATGAATATTATACAGGGTGTCTCAAAAATGCTTTGTCCAAAACAATTTCTTTTAATGGCAACCCTCGTGGCAACATAATTATTATTTTTCTGCATTTTTGAATTGCCCTTAAAATTCTGAATATTTTCCATGTTAGTGCTATACCCAAATCCAAGCTTTTTGGAGTTATTCTCATTTAAAATTAAAAAGTAAAAAAAATATTAGAAAAAAACCTTTTTAAGAGGATACCGAAGAGGATACCTTATGGAAGATGTATTCAAAAGACAACCCACAAATTTGGATGACTTGAAACATCGCATTCGGCAAATTACGCCCCAAATAATTCGAAATACATCCCCGGTAAATCCTCGGTACATCCCCTACATTCTCTAGTACATCCTCGGTACATCCCCTACATCCTCGGTACATCCCCTACATCCTCTAGTACATCCTCGGTACATCCACTACATCCTCGGTACATCCACTACATCCTCGGTACATCCCCTGGAAATCCTCTCATGTGTACACCATAAATCCCCTAAGTGTTCACCCCTCGTATCTATTACGGTTTCCGAGATACCAATGTTCGTACCTCGAATTTGTAGCACCCTGTATAGTCAGTGTTCTTTAACATCGTCGCATATTTGTAGTAAAAAAAACGTTTACTCTAAATATGTTCGATATAGCCTCTTCATTGTGATTATTCTTATAGTTAAGTAAGTCAAATTTTACGATTTAAGGCGGCTACAGACGTTCATGCAGACTTGACAAGTGTACTTGTGCAAGCGTACTTGTACAAGTTTGCATTGACTCCACACAATACAAGCGCACTTGAATAGTTTTAGTCTGGTTTTAGTAGGTAAAAATGGACGAAAAAGACGCGCTAGCTCTTGCGATGTTCGAGATTCTGCTTAAACAAAAAGAAAAAAAGAAAACCCGTTGATTTTAGTGCAAAAACTCGCTTCTAAAGAGGAATATTTATTCGCATACTAATATTTTAAACCAATTGAAGTTTTACCCTGCTGATTGGCATAATTATTTACGAATGAATGAAGAAACATATTTTAAACTGTTATTACTGGTTAACACTTTTATTGAAAAGAAATTGTTCTTAAACTGTTTATTTTTTTACAACCGAATCGCGGTTTGCAGTTTTATGACTTTCTTGCAATTTTGTAATTAAACTTTTATATGCAGCCTCTCTTTTGTTTTTATTATTATAGTCCTTTGATTTTACTTGCCATAAACAAAGAGATTATAAATACTAATGAACTCGACCAATACCTCGCGCATACTTTTTTCATGTTCACTAGCCATTTTTATCTATCTTTTGGTAACAAACAAATAAGAAACAAGCAATAAACCCATAATAAATCTACAAAAACCAACTTCAGGCTTGCGCAAGTGATACACACGTTCATGCATACTTGCACAAGTCACTGGGGCATGAAGAAAATTCGTACAAGT